AAAATAAATATATTTTTCCTCCCTATTCTTTGTGACGTGCCTTACATATGGTTGAGAATAAGTCTGTTTCGCATCCCTGAACTTCAGGCCGGACCGTGCCGGCCCAGCGTGTTGAGGTAGTGACCTAGGCACGGCACGGCTGTTGGGCCGGGCCAGCACAGGCACGACCAGAGGTGCCTGGCCGGGCCAAAATCACCGGGCCTTGGGCGGGCCATCGGGCCATATAGCCATCTATACATCCATGTGTCTCCAAAAGCATGGTTGCATTGGTGGAGTAGTTAATTACGTTGTGATATTGCCTTCCATGATAAATACCATAGGTGCATCTAGTAGCTGGCTCTTCTATGATATATATAGAACTCTTAAGAAACAATGTCAGAGACGACGTCTTCAACAGACTCCGATCTGGATGTACGACGCACATAGGAGCCCAAACCCTTTGCAGATTGATGTCTTCTTTAGTCGAGTTTTCATGCCATTATGTAGGGATTGAAGAAATCCCCATTTACCCAAACAAACAAGCTCTTAAACCGTCCATCCATACATAGGGAAAGGGAGGCGCCAGGAACACAATTTCAAGCTCCTCATTGCCCAACGGGGATAAGATCAGGTACTGCAGGAAAATGATAGGAGAGTACACATGCATGAGGGTCCTGAAAAACTATACCTCCCATCTTATCACATCGAGTATTGTCATGTCGAAGGGGCTTGGACCACAGGAATGGAGATGTTACATATTTACATGCCATGGGCATTGGGCCATAAGGCAAGGCCCATGGAAAGCCCATACATAGACCCTGATGCCCTATGTAGTTTTGGCACGCATTAGTGCGAACAAAGCCTTCATGCTACCGGTTGAAACTGCTATCATCCAGCGGGGCAGGAAGACTATTGCCCACCTATGGTGGTATAAGATGAACTCCCTTAAAGAAATCATGAAGCTGTAAGCGAAACTGAAGATCCACGGACCAAACAACTTCGTCATAAAATCACTAATTATGGAAATAACATATAAGCACGGTGTTGTTGGTTAGGTACTTACATTATGGTGTGTGATCACTGTTGAGCGAGTTTGTGTAATAAGTGGTTATAGCTCTTTTGAGCAAAGACTGGATTTACTTCCATTATCTTTAAAAAATGGTACTTACATTCGATCCATCGGCACAAAGTCAGCAGCAATAGCCCGGGCCTCATAATCATCGCAAATTCGCAAAGGAAAAAGTACGAATCCCCCCTGGAACTATCGCGGCTGTCCAAATTACCACCCCCCCGAACCATAAAACCGGGTATTCTTCACCCCCAACTAAGCAAACCGGACAAATTATACCCCTTGACCCAATCCGCGGTGGTTTTGGTCCACGTGGCGTACGCGTGACAGTCCAGTCAGCACTCTATTTATAAAAAAATGTGGGACCCACCTAGCATCTCCTCATCCTCTCTTCCTCTCTCTCTCAAACGGGTCAGCGGCGGCGTGTGGGCGGTGGCGGAGCGCCGGGGAGGACGCGGTGACGGCGGGCGGCACCAACGAGGGGGGATGAGGAGGACAACGATGAGGATGAAGCGTACGGCGGCGGCGCCTCTCAGCAGCGTGCGCGCAGAGAGGACAAGGGCGGCGAGACGGCCAGCGTCGAGGCCCCCTCTGCCGTGCCGCTCTGACGGCGCCCCCACCTCCACCGCGGGGCAGCTCATCTGCGGCTGCCGCGACTTGGCCACCGCTCCGCCCGCACACTCCCCCTCCCTCTCAGCGGCGTGCGCGCGGGAAGGACGAGGGCGGCGGGACGGCCGGCGTCGAGGCCCCCTCCGCCGCACCGCTCTGACGGCGCCCCCACCTCCACCGCCGGCCAGCTCGTCCGCGGCTGCCGCGACTCGGCCACCGCTCCGCCCGCACGACGCCGAGAGGGAGGGGGGAAAGCTGCGCCAAGCGGCCGCCTCCTCATCCTCCGCCGCCGCCGCCTCCTCTGCGTCACCCGCCGCCGCCGGCTAGCTCGTCCACGGCTGCTGCCTCCCGCCCACCCTCGATCTCGCTGGACACCGGCGCCCAACCGCCCCTCCTGAGAGAGAGAGAGTATGAGTGTATGACAGGTGGGTCCCTCATTTTTTAATAAATAGAATGCTGATTAGACTGCCACGCGTACGCCACGTAGGACAAAACCACCACGGATTGGGTCGAGGGGGGTAATTCGTCCGGTTTGTATAGTTGGGGGTGAAGAATGTCCGGTTTTGTGGTTTGGGGGTAATTCGGATGACCGCAATAGTTCGGGGTGGGGGAGGGGTAATTCGTACTTTTCCGTTCGCAAACCCTTTCATCCAATTAATCCAGCTGATCTAGGAAGGCCAGTAGGGTAGTAATGGGCCAAGGCCCATGGATTTTTTTTTCATAACCCACATCAACTCTTAAATATTTTTATTTTTAAAAAAAAACTACTACATTTCTGCCCAATCCGTTGTAAAGTCAGCACTTACATGTTATAGGCTAAAAACTTAGACCCTTGCTACAAGGCTCGAATGTTTGGTGGCAATCCCACAGACATGGCCTCCCAAGTTTTGGTTGAGAGTATGGTAATGGCATTGCGATGGGTGGTTAGAGCGACAATTGTGAGAGAAATCTGAGTGGAAGAGGAACATGAAAAACATATTCATAGGAGGAGAGAAGACTGGGTCCAGAAATGCTATGAATTAGACAGTGATTAGGTCCATCAGTAATACCTACTCCGTGAAAGGGCATATAGTCTAATAGTTGTAGTGACCTGAGTAGCACCCAAGGTCCTAAGTAGGAGCGATTTTCAAATTGGGTTATTTGAGGGCTAAGTTCCCTGTTTGATGTGCTAAATTCCCAATTAAAGAATGATGTATATAAACAGTTAGATAGAGACCAGGTAAAAATTAGCTTTCTCTTAAAATAAATATAGGCTGTATATATCCGGTTAAATGTAGAGACCATGTAAATTTACCCTTCTCTAAAAAAAAACCTATTGTTGTGACATCACATATTGTTGACATTTGTGATATGGTTTTTCTACAACTTTACAATTACTCCCTACGTCCCATAATAATTGTCATTCTAGTTTGTTTAGGATAGATTAAGGTTTAATACAAAAGTCTATAATACCCCTTGTTAAATAATGTATGAGAAGTGAAATGGTTATTGAGGGTAAAATAAGAAAATTTTTGAGTAGAAAATGATTGATGGGACAAGTAGTACGACAAAATTTAAATCCTAAAGAGACAAGTATTCTAGAACAAAGGTACTAGTAGTATGTAAGAAGAAGCACTACGAAAATGGAATTAATGTGAGGTACTACCTCCGTCCTAGAATACTTGTCGCTTTGAGTTTTTGCTTGTAACTTGTGATCTTTCGTCTTATTCAAAAAATTATGGAATTATTATTTTTTGATTTGCTTTATTGTCAAAAATACTTAAATATAACTTCTCTGTTTTTATATTTACACTAAACTTTCAAATAAGATGAATGGTCAAACGTTACCAGAAAAAAGTCAAAGCGACTACTAATTTGGGACAGAAGTGACTACTAATTTGGGACAGAGGTAGTAGTTATAGGTACATTTTGGTACTGGGCTTTGAGGAGAGCTTTGTGGATTTTTCATGAAAATGATTTGTAACGAAACCGTTCAAGATCTGTTAGCACACATAAGTTCAGTACTGGGTTGGTCTGCCTCATGCAAATGCATTACAATAGTAGAAAAAATTTGCAGTCATTCTCAGTCCATTTACTTAGACACTCCACTCTTGGTTGACTAGAAATTTGACCTCTGAAAAGCATGTACTATCATCATGGAGTAGTTATGTCTGAATTTGAGAGCCGTGATAAATACCAGAGGCATCCGATATCTCGCACGATATAGAGCATCCTAAGCCAGTCACGCTATACACTATGAGGAAATACTATTTATCTTTTGAACAAGAAATTAAAAGTGACGTTTTCTAGAGTATTTCAATAGGAAATGGAGGCACTAGGGATTCACATAAAAATAAGGATATTCAAGCTTGAGAATTTGTGTTCAGTTAGCCCATGGTTATTCTTATTAGAAACCTATTCTGGTTATGAAAAGGACACAGCACGTGCATATGTGAAACATGCAAAAAATTTCACCCTAACAATGGAGGAAAAAAAAAGCGCAACAACTGACTTCCAAGACCTGACCACAAGTAAGTGGTACATAATTTGGCTGTGTATATTCATTACTATGGAGATTTGAACTCAAGTCCCGTGCTTGTTTTTAGTGAAGGCTAATTTAGGACCGATGCCTTTTATTTATTTATTTTTTTAGAGAAGAATATTTTTTAGCCGGTCTCCGTATCCAACCGGATAAATGCAACTACTATACAGATTTGAACTCATGACCGATGCCTCTTTTTTTATTATTTTTAGAGAAAGCCATTTTGCCTTTTTTTTATTATTTTTAGAGAAGGGTATTTTTTACCTGGTCTCTACATCGAACCGAATATATGCAGCCATTTAAACTCAGGACCGATGCCTTTTTTTAATTTTTAGAGGGTTTTTTACCTTTTTATTTTTATTTTTTTTAGAGAATATATGCCTACACGGCCTCTACATATATATATATATATATATATATATATATATATATATATATATATATATATATATATATATGCAGTCATTCAAAATTGGGAACTTAGCCCCATCTGAAATTTGCTACTATGAAGATTTAAACTTAAAACCTTAGAATACTACTCAGGACACTACAACCACTAAGCTACATGCCCTTTCGTGTTCAGGCGATGCCTCTATATACATAGAGGTTCCAAAACACAACAGAAGCTAAAACTACATGATTCATGGTGCGTGATAATTAATTAAGTCTTGCCAGTAGGGACAGGATAGTAGATCACTAATTAAGGAGCGTCATTTTTATTTAATATGATATCAGTTAACCGGATTAGCCGACAAAACTGCATCATGCAACTCGAACAATTACAATCATGGGAAATTTGCGGTCATTCATACTGCATTTGTTAATTTTGATTAGTCATATGTCAGCCTTAGTTGGCCCAACGAGAGATTTGATTGTTCCAGGACTACATTGCCGTGCACTAGTTATGTTCAGAGTACACGTTACAATGGCACGGCAATGTAGCTATGAATACACCGTTGTCCAACATGTGTCTTTCTGTCAACCAAATTGGAAGAAATAAGTTCAATGCTACATCAGCCAAGAACTGAATGGTTGTAACAGCAGATGAGTACGTAGCGGCAAAACAGATGCTATGAGAAATTTTCTAACCACAAGGACTGTGCTTGGAGAAACTTTTTTGTCTTGCCAATTTGCCATGTATATATACTAATATTGAAAGTTCTCAGAAACATAACACAATCTACTCAAGACTGTGTAATCATCATATTAGGATAACAATTGATTCTCCTTAAAATGTTTTGTGATCTCTGTCCTCCATGAGCAGGACGAAAAATATATTTTATAGAATACCACAGGAACATTAGCGATCATTTCTACATTAGCAAGAGGAACAACTCACAGCACGAGTGGCAAGTTCTTCTGCAGTTCAGTTACATTTTTTTAACCGATAGATCAACATCCAAGTATTTAGTTTTCCCCTTGTGCCAAAAACATGTTCCAATTTATAGTAAAGAAATGTGGTTCGGTCGATCCATAAAAATATTTAAGAAATTCAAATCTAGACAAACATAAAAACACATCTAGGTAAATAAAAACACATGTATGTGTAGGGCGAGGGACAAGGTTGTGGGTGACCAACACGTTCAGACCCATCATACCTCATTTATAGTTAAACAAAATAAAATCGCTGATGAGAACATGGCTAGCTTACATATCAAAAATAAAAATGTATATGTTCTACGTGAGACTTACGTGTTATCTAAAGTAGTGAAAAAAGTAAAGTTTTTTGTCACCATATTGCGCCACGTCATCAAAGTAATAAGGGCCGTTCGATTCTTACTCTAGACGTTGGTGGTCGTTGGATCCTATAATTGGCATAGTATATTCTAGGCCCTTGAGGAAACTCCTATCTATTTCTAGTCCTTACACATCCTTATAACTCTTTTGTTTTTCATTTTCACCCTTCCTCCTCCCACACCGTGAGGCACCCACCCTGACGCTCTGTCTTCTCGCACTCGCGGCGCCGTCTCGCACTCATCGTCGTTGTCGACCTTGGAGCCACCCGCCGCTGCCGCTGCCTCATCGACTCCTCTCCAAGACCCCATCACCACCGCTGGCCCCCTCTCCATCTGTACTGCTGCACAGTATCCTCCATCGATCCCCTATTCCGGCGGCGGCCACACCTCCTGTCCTTTCCATCCAAAATGCCACTGCGTCGATTCATTCCCTCCTGGCCGCTCTCCAGCTCCTCCTCCATGGTTATGTCTCCTAGTGGCTTGGAGCTGGCAACACCAGAGGGAGGTAGTGATGGAGCCGGCTCAAGAAGACCCAAAACGCCGGTGTGGCGAACAATGCTTCAGATCCGATAGTGGCCAGAGACGATTGTAGATTACCATTAAGTAATTTGAGTACAGTTGAGGAACTACCAGGTAGTAGTATTTGGATTTGTAATATGGATGCTTATGTTCAGCTGAAGCATCAACAATTGCAACTTGCTACTTCTGAATATCACCATGAGTTTGTCCTGATTAGTGTCTGTTTCGGATGAAGGTGTCCGAACCTTTGTGTAGACAATAGAAGGGAAATTCTATAAAAAATAGGAAAATGTGTTGTTTAATTTTGATTTCATATAGTCATCCGAATTTTTAATAGGATTATTCTTGCATCAGAGTGAGTTAGTGTCACAATGTTAACCCCTACTTATGTAATTCGTGAGTTTCTCTGCAAAGCTTGAGCATGGGTCAAAATGATTGCAATATATTTGATGTATGTAATTTTTTGTATCAATAATTTCATTAGGAAGCAGCAAATTCATTGTAGCCAGTAATGGCTGTCATTTGTAGATCTTTTGAACAAAGCTGAAGCCATATCCAGAATTAACCAATGGATACAATGCATTAGGAGAAGGTTTGTTTTTTTTTTGGCGGATCATGGATAGTTGAAGCCTCTATATTGAGAGTATGACATTATTTATACTTAACAGGATAGTTTGCTACTTTGCTTGATATGCCATTATTCTTTATTTCCTATGCCCCTTCCCTTCCAGAGCATAAATGGTCTTTTAGTTCGAATCTACTAAGCATCTTCTCCTATTGTCTTTTAGTGTTTCTGCAATTGGTTTATTACTTATAAAATCATGGTGTTAACCACCTAATTTTGTTTACATAATTTCTCTCTCATGCATAATCCTTTTCAGGGCAATCTACAGCATGAACACACTGGTAGCAGTTGTACGTATATACCTGGTCCTGGGCCAAGGTAATAGCTGATTACACTTCTTATATATCCACCTCAGATTGCATGTTTTTGCAGAGAAGCCATGTGAAGTGTTCCTGGAGTTTGGTGGATATAGGCAAAGTGATATTCTTTTAAGAAAATCAAAGACATGGTGTGTATCACAGTGAGTCGAATTGTCCAATTTTCTTTTCTAACTCATGTTGTGAATGGAGACATGCATCTTAGTGGAAATCCAGAGCTATCATGCAGGTTATGAATCCCTCATTCAAGTTGTTTGTGATAGAAGTACTAAATACTTCACCTTTTTATTTCAGGCGCTATAAGCTGCAGAGGTTCCATCTCACCATGTATTGTTAAAAGTCAGTGTTTCCAATGTAATTGTTGGGCATACAAATTGCAGGATGGTTGCAGCAGAGCAATAAAGCAATTTTCAAACTACATAATAAGGTAATCAACCTTTTCTGAACCTCCGTGGACGTGCTTACTGCACTACTCAACATTGAATTAGCACGGATGTGACAGAGACAACGAGGGCAGATTATATGCCATCCTTTCTTGATATTTCTAACAATAATATTTCATTGAATCATCGAAAATTTTCTCACTAACTCAAAATTGATCATTCAGATCATTGGGCATTAAATAGGTGCAGCTCAATTATTTTTCCTGACAATTGCCTACATGATATCTATTCACGATGACAAAATAGAGAAGGTACTTCTTTTACAATGTTGGTATTGCTATTTTTGTATAGAAGAGTAGTAGACATCAATACAAGTCACAATAGAGACATTTTACTGCAGTTCAGCACTCTGAAGAACCGGACAGGAATTTCGTCAGCACAAAACAATACCAGATTGGATAAAAACCGGAGATACACAGAGACTTTACCCGTTGTAATCACCCTGTTATTTCACTATCCAATGAGATCTGCAAACCAAATATTTAAAAAGCATGACATCTCGTGCATCGAACAGTACAAAAAAAATTGAGACTAATATGTTCTTAGGCTGCTTAACCATGGGGAAGCTTCTAACTGCTTTGCTCCATACCATCAGCGTATGTAACAGTTTATATGTACAGAGCATTTATACGGGTATGTAAAAAGTCGCGCAAAGCGCGACTAATATGGCTAGTATATTTGAATAAGCATTATTGTACTGTAAGTTTTGTGTGTTCTCATTTCCAGACTTGTTTGGTTAAGGGATAGAGACTGAACACAAGGAATATATATGGATAGTCAAAGAAGTTGATTAGGGCTAAACCAAGATCTTGCCCAAGTCTACTCCAATATTACCACGTCATTTTTTATCCATAGAAGGTAAGAGATTAAGTGATTTTTTTGTCCATAGAAGGTAAGAGATTAAGTTATGCATATACTGGATTAGGATTATGTACTCCTGACAGCATTACCCTTAAACGGACATAGCTGCTAATCCAGAAGAACTTTTGGGACCATAAGTATTTGTTGGAAAGCTTATTGAGTCTACTTTCATATGCTTTTGGTCCCACGTTAAAATTCCTCCTTAGCTATCGGAATTATGTAAAACAAGTCACATACCTAATCCAGTCCGAGTCTGATTTGGGTCTTTGGACTTGTAATCGTGTCATGGACAAAACCCAAGGGGGTAGCACCCTAGGGCTAACCTTTGGACGTCCCTAATCATATTTATTCCATAGCCGTCATCATTTAGAGTCGGGTTTCACTTAGATTATTTCTAGGGATAAGTCCATTTTACACCCTCCAACTCTTCATTTTATCTAAAATACACCTAAAACTCTAAAACCGGATATTTTACGCCCTCCAACTTTCAATATCGTTCACTGTACACCCTAGAGTTGTTTTTACCTCGGTTATACTCCAGGATGCAATGTTAGCAGGCCCTACCTATCATAATGTTTTTTTCACCTCCCTTGCTCTTTCGACTCCCTCTCTCACCGAGCTTGAGGCGGCCATGGAGATCTCGCTGTGCTTGAGAGAAGAGGGAGGTCGGCGGTGAGATTGATGTGGAGAAGAGGGAGGTTGATGGCGAGCTCAATGCGTATCGGAGCCCGCCCCCTTTGCCGAGGTTGGAGAAGAGGGGTTGCCGATTACAAAGAAGATGGGGTCGCTGGCAAGCTCCGACGAGGGTTGATGGATGTGGATCGACCCCACCGTGAGCTCGCTTGGAGCGGCCTGCATCGTCCCCGCCTTCAACTCGAGCTTGTTGAGCGGTGTTACCGGCAACGGAAGGGTGTGGAGCTTCGGGCATTCAGGGTTGGGGGGGAGGGGGAGAGTGGCTCCATGGATGGAGCTCGCCAACAAATTTGGCATTGGCATCCGTGAGCTCGTCGTCGCCCACACCACTTCCATTGCCAGATCTAGAATGAGGTTGGCGTCCGCGAGTTGTGCCACTACCCGACTGCCCCGCTCGAGCTAAGTCCTTCCACTGCATTGGGGGCACCAGCCAATGACAGAGGGGTCCTAATGCGTCGACCACGCCAAAGAGGTGTACATCGCCAGAGCCACGCACGTGGGAACTCAGGGTCGGGGAGGAGCTTGAGCTCCGGCTCCATTGTCGGAGGTTTTTTCCTGTATACCATTAAGAAAGATGGTGTCTGCCTCTATGAAACTAAATAGTTCGAGCCTCCCTCTCTACCATCGTCGATCTTTATCGCGCACTCCATACCATTCCGTTCGTTTTTGGTTATAACGGTGGGTAACGGCGCAGCCAAATGACTTAGTTGCCCTTTGGTCCAATATGCTCTCTCGTAGCACTCTCCTCTCTCCCCTTAGATGCAGCAGCAGCAGCAAAGGAGCGGGAGGGGAGATGACGGCGGCGCTGTGACAGCGACGGGGCGCTGCGACGACGATGACAGGGCGGCGCTGCGACGACGATGACAGGGCGGCGCTGCGACGACGATGGTGGTGGCATTGCTGCGCGACGAAGACGGCGGCAACAACGTTGCGATGACGACGACGACGAAGAGGGGGGCGGCGCTGCGACAACGGCGGCGGCGGCAGTGCTGCGCGATGGGGGGGCGGCAGCGCCGCGACGACGACGACGACGACGACCAGCACAACGACGACGGCGAGGACTATTGATGCTTGCTAGTGGTGTTGATGACTGTTGATGCTTGCTACTAGTGATGCCAGGACCAGCACAACGACGGTGGCGAGGACTATTGATGCTTGCTACTAGTGATGCCACCGACCTCGCCTGATCAGCCATGCGGCACATCCAGGAAGCCATCCAGGAGCCACAGGACCAAGTGTCCGTCCTATTTCCGTGAAGACGAGTGCGAGAGATTGCTTACTCGGGCCGCCGAAGGGGATGGGTCCAGGGTTGAGCCCCGCGGCGATGCTCTGCGGCGGCGGGACGTGGAGCACGACAAGCGCGCCGTCAGGGCGAAGGCGGAGGTTGTCGGCGGGAGGCCACTGTCCTCCTTGCTGCTCATGTTGACGCCAGCTTGCATCTGCGTCGGTGGCTGAGGTGGAGCCGCCACCGCAACGTGGATGGGTTCGTTGAACTCCACCGGATCCGCGGCATGGCGAAGCTGGAGGAGCCGGTCGGGCCGAGGATGGGGAACAGCGCACCGACGACGAGGATCACGACGACGACGACGACCAGACCGAGGGCTGGGCGGTGGCCGGCCGCCGGTAGGCCCTGCGTGGTGGCGGCCTGAGGGAGAAAAAGGGAATCGAGGGAGAAGAGAGAGTGAAAGGGCAAGATTGATATTTTTCCTTCCCAGGCCCACATGTCAGAGCTGCCAAATGGTTAAACCGAAACAGAATAGCGACGGAATGGTGTGGAGGAGACGATAAAGTTTGACGATGGTATAGAGGGGGGCTCGAATTTTTTAGTGGCACAGAGGCAGACACCATTTTTCTTAATGGCGTACAAGGAAAAACCTCCCACCTTCGCAATGAACCCCTTGGTCCACCGCCACTGCTCTCCTCGTCGAGCTCAGGGATGTTAACAGGGACGCCACCACTGCTGCTCTTCTAGCGTAGGAGGAAGAAGGATAGAGAGAGAAAGAGGAAGGAGAGAAAGGGGATGGAAGATGGAGGAAGAAGAAGAGATGTCTATCCCTTATTTTTGTTTTTATTTGCTGATTAGACCACCACATCAGCGCCACACAGGTGAATACCAGCTGAAAACCACTCGAGGGGGTAAAATGAATGGGTGTTGAAAGTTCAGGTATGCCTTAAGTCAAGAAAAAAAAAGTTCAAGGATGCTAAATACCTGGTTTTGAAGTTTGAGGGTGTATTTTAGACTAAGCGAAGAGTTGGAGGGTGCAAAATGGACTTATCCCTTATTTCTATCATTGCAGTTTGGCCACAAGTTCGGTATGTGGAACCCTATCTTTGATAACTCAATCATTTATCTGCAAATTGAGTTGCAATCCATCTTGTTTTTCTTGTGTTTTTCGATTCGCACGTAGGGATTAGCCTTCTCGGCGAGGTCAATCAAGTTTCGGCATAGTTAATAACCAGAGGAAACGTGATTCTACGATTGTAGGGTTCAGATCATATGTTTCAAGTTTCCACCAAATCGAGAGTTATCTTTACCTAACGGAATATCGGGCATCCCGTTGCTATCAATCGCCATGTGCCGTCATCAAAACAGTATCAATATAACGTTTTAATTTGTACCTCACCGCCCAGCTGGTCTAGTTCTGATTTTAACATTAGCACAACGACCAAACTACGAGCCAAATGTATATACATGCGGAAGGTCATATCGATATAGCACATGCCATAGATGTACTCATTATTCCTCGCGCGATCAATAAACCACCACATTCCTCTCATCTAGCTAAGGCTTCGGAATAACAAGTTTCTCTATCTCTCCAGTAGAAGGTGCATGAAAAATCAGCAAAGAATGTGAAGATGAGGACACCTAATACCATCATGCATCTAATGTAGGTAGACAGTACACGCGCGCGAAGTCACACAGTAGCTAGAAAAGGGAGGCACCGAGAACTCTGAGCGAGAGTCAAGGTTTCATGTGCTAACAGGGCGCAACACCGATCTTTCGACACTCGCAGCACCAAGCTGTGGCTAGCCCGCATTGGCTTATTTCGCTTCGACTAAGCGTGCTTTCAGTGTCTCGAAGAATAACAGAGAACTTCAACTCCATCTTGCATGGTGGATGCATGTCACCTGCAGTCACCACTGAGGTTGCTTTTCCTGAATTCTTAGACCCCTCTGACACAGCTCTGAATCCAATGTATTCCTAACTCCACAAATCCAAGAATCTAGATCTACGGTTACGGTGATAACATTTGGATAAATCGTTTTGTTCTTATTTTGGATGAAATTTGAAATTTTGAACCACTATAATTCAACGCACAAATTTCAAATCTATTGTGGATCTGAGATCTGGACCTGTGCCAAACATGGACTTATATAGTCTAAAATTCTATGTCTAGGAAACTATATGCATTTGAGGCATTCAGGATGTAATGTTTGGATGAGATCTGGTACACGATTTGACGCTAGGAATGTTAAATATTTGATTCGAATTTCACCTATTAATATGTTCGGATTATACTTTCCATACTGTCCTCGGATGGTTGGTGGATAGTTTATGCTTGTGTATATATCATGGTGAATAGGCATGAACTCCTGTTCCAGTTTTAATTTGGAAAATAGTACCACTCTGGATATAGCCATGTCTTTCCGGAAGAACTTAGGTTGTTTGGCCAATTCATCAACGACCAAGGTATGAATTAATTGTTTGACATGATCAATAGGCGGTCCCTCAAATTTGCTTTATATTGAAGCAAGGCAATATCCATTAGTAAAAAAAAAGAAAAAACAAAAGGATTACAGATAGTTTGTAGCAAGCAGGCTGGTGTGGTGGCAAGCATGTTTGGAGAAATTTTATACTTCCTCCGTTTCATAACGTAAGTCATTCTAGCATTTTTCACATTCATATTAACGTTAATTAATCTAGATATATATATATATAT